TGATCAAATCCCCTTCTCCAATGGCGCCTTCGCTGAACTTTTGCATGTGTGATAGTCGATAGCGATATCAGTCGCTAGAGAGAATCCCGGCCAAGAGGCTTACGCTTGACAGAGGGACTGGACGAAACCTTGGGCAGGTCGGCGGTAATATCCTTCATCGTCATGAAATCCTCATCGCCTTGACGACCCAGTTCGCGGTTCAGCTTCTCTACGGTCGTGACTTCGCCCAACCAACGCTCCCCAGTTTTGTGATCGAAGTGCACTGGCTGGACCAGGCCGCGGTAGCGCGACATATCGTCTAAGGTTGGTGGATAGATGATGGTCGTCTCCCTGCGTTCAAAGCCCTCTTCGGTCATGTATGGTTTGCCCTCGATGATCTGCGGTTCTGTGCGCCATTCGAATGGAGTCGCCGGAAGGTTCGGCTCCTTCTGAACGATATCCCACCATCTGTTCTTGCCAGTGCGGTTCGGCAACTCGTCTGCGGATATTTCGATCAAGCCCTCGCCATCAGGATTGGGAATGAAATGACGGGGTGGAAGAACCTCGGTCTGGAGAACGGGCTGCAGTCGATGGTAGTATGTGTAGTTGTGGATCTCGCGGTGGATCTGCTGCTGGATGATTTCGTGTTCGTGTGGTTTGATGATCTCGTGTGTGACAGCTGTTGGTTTGTTAGTCAAGTCGCAACTCCGGGGGGATCAAAGCTTACCAGGGGCGACCGTAGTGTCTCGGACCGTGTCTACAGTGTTGTTGAGGTTCACAACACCCGCAAGCATCGCTTGCTGTTTCTCTTTCCAATTATGCGCGCCATCCGTGCCCTGATAGTCCTTCGTGATCGCGAGACCCGGGAGAGGTTTCACGGCCAGCGCATCATTGTTGGTAAGTCCTGGTACCGGCTGGCCACTCTTGCTCAATCCATGGTGGTCGGAGGTAGAGCGCTGTTCGCGCGATCGAACGTCATCATCCAAGCCGCCGTTGTTGACATCGTGACTACCCACTGCATACTTGCCGGTGGGAGCTTCGGTTGGCACTGCGCGTATGGTGCGGCCTGGACCGTCTACGTCGATTGATCGTCTGACTTCGCCATGGGGATGGTGTAATGTGTCTGATGTTATTTTAGCACTGAGTCGCCGATATTGTAATTGCGCTCTCAAACATACTGGGTAGGGCCGGAAGAGCCTTTGATCGCTCGCCATCTGTCGATGGCCTATAGCGCAGATGCCTATCTGGAACGCTAGGCTCGACATTTGAATGCTCTTCGGGAGCAAGCGCAGGAAGGTACGATCTGTAATCGTCCGCCATGGAGCCATTGGATCCGTTGGAGCCTGTGCTAGGAGTTTCTACTGCATGGCTCGCTCGGCCATCGTGATAGGCAGAGTCGCGTGGTTGACCTCGAGTTTCAGGGTGATAGGCATCATTGGAGGCCGCGGACTTTTGCTGTCGACTGCTAAGAGGTGATGCAGGGTGCTGCTCAGTGCGCGGGCTAGTCTGATCAGAATGCTCGTACGACGCTCGAGGGGACTGAGTGGGCGTCGACTTCTTCCTCCTGTGGAGAACGGACTTGAGCTTCTCTTCGATCTTTTCCATCGTGTCGATGGGTTTGCGAGCACAAGGGGACAAGTGGATGTGGGAGCTATGTGAGATGCCGATCTATTGTCTGTTTTCACGAGGCACGGTACTCATTGTTAGGGTGGATGACCTCACAGCACTTGCGCACAGTTGTCCATTGAAACCTTCCGGCAGGAGCAAGCCGAAGTCTGGAGAGTGTGCATGTCAGCTAGCTGGGGTGCATATTAGGAGCTTCCAGGCATTTTGTCGCAACAGTTCGCGAAAAATTATAGCTTCAGTGATGCCGTGTCACGACGGATGGAGCTGGTGGCTTGAGTAGCACAGGCCGCAGTCGTGCTCCCGCATGTTGGCGGCCTGCCCGGAGCGGTCCAGACTTGTCCCTACGTGAAGCTCTCTCATCTCGATTGAGTCTGTTTGAGTTGCCCGCACAGCCTGTCGCATTTGGCCCACGGCAACGGCATGCGTGGCGACTCAGCATGACGTAGCTAGCGGTACTTGAGTTTGGCGGTGTCTGGCTAATGAGTCGGGGTACCGATGGTACAGAATCACACAAAAGCAAACAGCATCCATCGCCACTTTGGTATGTCACAGCGGAGATCCAGGCGGCATGACGACAGGGAGGGGGAGTCTGGTCGCGGGCGGCTCCACTGATGATCAGCTTAGCGTACCAAAGGACGGGCGATCGTGTTAGCCTGCACCTAGATGCAGCCAGGCCTTCGGTAATTCCGAGATACACGCAGATTCAGGCGGGCTGTGAGAGGGGTTAATGGAATTTGCAATGAAGAAATCAACTTTGGAGATTTCCAGCGAGGTGTTGCGAAGTTCCACCGGGAAGCAGCACGGGCCTGCTGTCACCGAATGGCAGGAGCACGACCCTAGCGCCGATCTCTCTAACACCAACTGGAGATGCCGGGCTCTTCCTCCCCGAACTGTCATAGCACTTGTACCCTTTGAGCACCTCTTCCAGAGAGTGTTGCGACGCTTTGAATCCTTCGTGAAGCCCAATTCCTGTTTGGACACGCAGCATGACTACATCATAGCGGCTAGGCTGCGGTAGGCGTGGAACGACACCACTGGGCGCATCATAGTGGCCATCTCCATTGTCAAGCGTACCAACGCCAGCTTAAGCGCTATCCATGCAGTCTAGCACCAGTGAACTAAGGGCCCTGACGCATATCACGTCGCTGTGGCGCCCTGTAAGCCAACCAATCGAGGCTGCTGGGAGCATCGATCGAGGCCCGTATAGCCTCAACCCACTGTTGCTGCCCCATGATGATGGCTCTTACCCTTGGGAACAAGGAATTCGGCCTGCCACTGCCGGCTTTGCCTGGAACTGAACTCCCCATTACGTCGTCGTGCATCTGTCCCACTAGCGCCCTCACTGTATAAGAAGGCACTGCAGCGCCTTGGGAGCATCATCATCACACCACACACAACAACTCCTCCACACTCACCAACAATCAATCCACTACCACCAAACCACCTCAATTACCAACAAAAACCACACAACTATCACAATGGACAAGGCGAAGGCAGCTATCACCGACTTCATGGGCCGCTCCGGTCACCATGACACCACTGTCCACGAGGCAGTTGCTCCCGCTGTCCAGCACGAGGTCATCAAGCCTCACGTACACGAGGAGGTCAACACCGCCATTGACAAGGAGGTTCACCAAGACCACTACCACCGCACTGTCCAGCCCGTCCAGGACCGCGAGGTTCTGCCAGAACAGCACTCTGCTAAGCTCGGAGCTGTTCAGCACCGCGAGTTCGACCACCGCGATGCCGATGCCACTAAGAGGGCTCTAGTCGACGACCAGGCTCGCTTCGCTGACGAGCGCCGTGTCGAGGACACCACCCACAGCCAGAGCGTTGCCCCCACCGTTGGCGGAGAGCACGTCCACCACGTAAGTTTACCAACAAACAACAACCCCCACCAAGACTGACGTCATCTAGCACATCCACGAGACTATCCAGCCCGTTGTTCAGAAGGAGACCATCCAGCCCAACGTCGTCCACACCACTGTCCCCATCCATGAGGTTCACCATAACAAGGCTACCCACCATGAGACTACTGCTCTCCCAGCCATGACCATGGAGCAGTTCAAGGCCAAGGGTGGTGCTCTTACTGGCCGTGAGGAGCGCTACGACGAGTTCGAGGGTGTTCCCAAGAACATCGGCGGTGCCGGTGGCATTGGATCCGCCGCTGGTCTCACCCACAAGACTAGTGGAACCCACAGCCACGAGCATGCCAGCCACGGCGACTACAACGCTGCTCCCAACCACCACTCCGGCACCAGCAACCCCCTCGACCGCAACAACGACGGCAAGGTCTCCGCCAAGGACCTGACTGGCAGCCACTCCAACACCGCCCACACTGACCGTGGCATGGCTGGCCAGGGCAACCTGACCGGTTCCTCCACCCAGGGAGGTGTTGTCGGCCACGGTGCTGACCGCAACCACGACGGCAAGGTCGACAGCCACGACCTCCACGACCCCGCTCGCAGCCGTAAGTTTGACCCTCCAGACAAGTCATCAACTCATGCTAACGTCTTATAGACAATGAGGGCGCTACAGGTACGAAAGACCCCAGTGGACATGTTGTCGGCGGTACCGATAAGGGCAATATGGAGCACCGTCCCAACGAGGATGGTAGCTTGCCCAAGGCCCTTACCGAAGACAAGTCCAAAGCCGTTCCCCACTCCGAAGCCTCCGAAGCGGAGGCGAAGAAACTCCTTGAAGAACATCAAACCAACACTAAATAGGTCACAAGAAGCCTTCTCTCATGGACAAGCTCAACCCTAGTAAGTTCTGTCACCAATCTCCTCCTTGCGAGCTGTCTTCTGACCACTTCCCACAGAGGTTGACGCCGACGGTGACGGCAAGGCCGGTTTCATGAAATAGATGCATTCTGCTGCACTCTGCACCACGCGCGATCATCACGACTGCATGCGAGATACCAAGGACCATTTCCTATGACATTGTATAATTAGCCTAGTAATGAATTAATCACTACCACCTTAACACACATTTCTCTTCTTCATGATGCTTGAATTTTCAATGAAACTGAATTCTTACTGGCATGTTGATCGTTCTCATGACACCAGATACATGTCCGATGCATGAATGGCCTTCCTTTCTTCAACCCGGTCTATCCGCGATACATGTGCCAACGCATTCCATTGGCTACGCTGCTACGATTCGTATGGCGCTACATCATAGCTCCCTTTCACCTATGGGCTGCCACTGATCAATTGACTTGTCGGTAGGCACTATCACCACCCTGCCGCCGGTCCAACCTCCGAGGTCTCCTGTCCCATCAAAGTTAACACCAAGCAAATCCACTGATGCCAGACCTGCCGCGTCGATTTGAGGAACGTCGTGGCTGCAATAATTAGTCCCAATGCATACGTAGATGCCACCAGCTGTACTTACTACATCAAGCTCAGATGTGGATTGTACTCGTTCTCGGCCCAAGCTTTCGCCTTGCTTTCGTCTTCAAACCCATCGAATTGCTTCCGGGACTGCTTTGCTAGTTGCTTGATCCCATCAAGCTTCTCGCACTTGATGTACAGTTTCCGAAAGAAGACGTCTTCGCTGCCCAGACGTTCGAACTTTACAATCACATCCTTGATAGGCGGCAGATCGAGTGAGTCGAGCCAGGCTTGAGGATCTGGCTCATGCTTGGATGCCGTTATCTCTGAACTCAGAGTGATATGGGGAATGAAGCGGTGAGGTGAGCCGAACTGCTTCGATGTTTTGTCAATGAGACAGGGTAGGACTGTGCTCAAAGTATGGTTCGCTGGTGGAAGCAGCCAAAGAGATGAGCCGGGCATATTGAAAACGTTTTAGATAAGTGCAGAGAAGATGCAATGTCAAGTCAAGCTTTCATGCCCTCCCGAGGTCCTCATTAAGAACCCCGCATTGGTATTGGCCCGATGAATTGGCCCGATGCCTCTAACGCCACGTGGCTAGTGTCGCGGGTAGCTTCAGCCACACCTGGACATCCTCCAGGGGCCCTGACGTCTCCAGCTGACTTGCATGTGAAAGCGCGCATCAGGTCCGACAAGCGTTCCCACTTGCTCGATAGCACCACCTCTCCGCCGACGCGACGAATGAACATGCGACTTCTGCCACCGCGGCGCTGTCAGCCGATCACTATCCCAAATAGCTCAACGCCATGAACGAAGCCCTCAGCGTCGTGTCGGGCGCGCTCTGGAGCTTCCTGCTGTGCTTCTTTGACGTGGCTTTCTTTTGGCAACGAGTGCGTCAGCTTCCCTCTGCTGTTTCAAAGACCGTTCTGGGTCAATTGATGTGTCTTCGGATGGAATGCTGATATGTTGAAGAAATTATACGCGTGGTGGGTGCAGAAGAGCCAGCGGGATCTGCTGCTGGAAGCTGTTAGCGATGCGCGCCTGTTCGAGGAGTGGGAGGCTGCTGCGTATAAGCTGGACGAGGTGCTCGACTATGATATGTGGTAAGCAGTCCTTTCGTCCTATCCTGAATAGGCCTATCCCAATGGACAGCTGCTAACAGACCCACAGGCGACAGACTGCCATAAGTAAGGACTACGACCATCGCCTCATCCATCAGCGCCTCTCCGCCATCTACGAAGCTCAAGAAGATAACGATATCCTCGGCCTCATAAACCTCCTCCGTAGCGGTCTCGTCCGCAATCTCGGCAACATAACCGCGTCGAACCTGTATAATCGCGCATATGCGGGCACAAAGCTGCTGATCGAAGATTATGTCACCCAAGTCGCATACGCCATCGAGAACCTCACCCAATACCCTACATCGAGAAACTCGGATAATGGCTTAACAAACCAGGCGAAGCTGGATGTTCTCCATGACACAAGGCAGGCGTTCGGCAGATCTGTCTTGGTGCTGCAGGGCGGACAGGTCTTTGGCATGTGCCATCTCGGTGTTGTGAAGGCGCTCCATCTACGTGGATTGCTACCAAGAATCATAGCCGGGACTGCCACAGGTGCTCTGATAGCCGCACTGGTGGGCGTGCATACCGAAGATGAGCTATTGGAGTTCCTCACAGGCAACACTATCGACTTGACAGCGTTCACCAATCGTCCTTATAGGAAAGGCGCCGGTGGAACTGCATGGATAGGCACGCTCATACGCCGTGCTAAAAGATGGTGGAAAGAAGGGCATTTCTTGGATGTCGGTGTCCTGGAAGATGTCCTAAGGGCGAACGTGGGTGATCTGACATTCGAAGAAGCATACACCAGAACAAAGAGGGTGCTGAATATCACTGTCACAACTACTAGTGGTGGAGGCATACCGAACCTTCTGAACTACCTTACTGCTCCCAATGTTGTACGTAGTCCGCTCCTTCTCCATCCCGAAGCAGCTGCTAACACTCCCAGCTCATCTGGTCTGCAGCACTTGCCTCCAACGCCACAGCCTCCTCGACTCTGTACCATTCCGTAACAATGATGTGCAAAGACGAGGAAGGCAACATCGTGCCTTGGTCTCCAGCTTCGAAAACCACCTTCCGTCCTTACACCCACGCTTCGTACCGAGACCGCGAATCCCCGCTCCATCGCATCGGCGAACTCTTCAACGTAAACCACTTCATCGTTTCGCAAGCCCGACCATATCTCGCACCTTTCCTACGCTCAGACTCACACCATCCAAATCCCAAACAAGACGGGCGCTGGCGCCTCAGCATGCCTATACTGCGTCTCGTAGTCCTAGAGATACAGCACAGATTACAACAAATGGATGAACTGGGTCTACTCCCCCCTTCCATCCGTCGTTTCCTCCTAGACGAAAACATCCCAGGCCCAAGTCTCACGCTGGTACCTGAACTCACACCTAGCGACTTCTTCAAGCTGCTCGAGAACCCTACCAAAGAGGCGATCGACTACTGGATACTGAAGGGAGAAAGGAGTGTATGGCCAGCAGTGACGGCACTCAAGATTAGATGCGCGATTGAAGTTGAATTGGATAGGGGATACCAGCTTGTTAGGAGAAGGAAGCCTTTTGATCCTGTTCTACCTGGAGGGACTGGCGGCTTGAAGAAGAGCGGAAGTAGAGGAGAGGTGCAGACTGAATATGGTTTTGGGGATGAGAATAGAGAGAGGGAGAAGAGGCATAGAGCGAGGGCTGCGAGCTTTGGAGGAAATGGATTTTGATGGGCATGTAGTTGGATCTGAAATTTTGCCGTGTAGCTGGCCACTGTATGCAAGATTTATTCTGGAAGCACCTTGGAATTGATGTACGCGCCACGGGCATAATCGGAGCATGTCTCGCGCGCTATACTTTGGCAGGAACTGCTGTTTCCTACATGAGGCATCTGAACCCACTCTCAGCCTTACCCGCTCCACCTGCAGCGTCGGTCAAGCTTCGCACGTCATCTACGCTAAAAGAATTCGATGTTTGCTGAGGACCCAAATATCGTGTTGAGGATACCAATCAGCCATCCACCCGTCAGTTGACACCATAAAAACACTTTAACTCTGCAACAAACTTCCACTTCCCTCATTTTACCTGTTCACATCCCCCGTCAAACCCAAAGTCTCAAGTCTCGACATACAAAATGGCAACGTGAGCCCCACCATGACTACCCCGCCAACTGCGCGCATCTCTGAACACACAAACTAAATCTTGAACAGCAACATCACATGGCATCCGTCCCTCTCGCGCGACGAGCGCAACAAGTTCCGCAAGCAGAAGGGCTTTACAATCTGGTTCACCGGTCTTTCCGCATCCGGCAAGTCGACAATTGCGACGGCGCTTGAGCAGCATCTGCTGCACCTGGGATTCGCGGCATACCGTCTCGATGGCGACAATGTACGATTCGGGTTGAACAAGGACCTTGGATTCACAGAGAAGGACCGAAATGAGAACATTCGCCGAATCGCTGAGGTACGTGGACATGCGCGATCTATGTACTCCAAAGAAGACAACCAGCTAACATCATTCCTACCACAGGTCGCAAAGCTCTTCGCCGACTCCTCCACGATCGCCATCACCTCCTTCATCTCACCCTACAAAGCCGACCGCAAGCAAGCACGCGACCTCCACGCCGTAACCACCGGCGAAGACTCCCCACTCGCCTTCGTCGAGGTCTTCGTCGACCTGCCTCTTGAAGTCGCCGAGGCGCGCGACCCCAAGGGCCTGTACAAGAAGGCAAGGGAAGGCAAGATCCCAGAGTTCACAGGCATCAGCGCGCCGTACGAGGCGCCTGAGAACGCCGAGATCCACATCAGGAGCGACCAGAAGAGTGTGGAGGATAGCGTGAGGGAGATTGTGGAGTACTTGCAGAGTAAGGGACTGTTGGAGTTGCAGAAGTAGGAGTTTCACATTTAGTGGTCATGAGCCTCTGAAGCGGATGGCGAGGACCGAAGTTCCGTCGCGGGTTGACTTCAGAGCTGGATAACGAATTGAACATCACTGGCGGACTCTGCTCCGGAGTACCGTCGACGCATGAGCGTCTGTTGAGTTTCACAGGACTTTCGCTGAACAACGCGTCTCCAGATACAACACAGAACAGGATAATCACATGGCTGACACTCAATGCACGGCTTAGGATCTACTCGTTAAGAAACATTGGACAACGGTTTCTCTCTCCCCAGGTCGATAGCATAAAATGCTGTGTTTCATGACCCGCTGTACCCGCGCACATCACAACCCCAGATAACTCTATGGTTACTATACGTATAACCACATCTCAAATTCTTACCAGAGACCAGGATGTATACCAAATATCCCGTTCGCTCTAATTACAGCATCGGTCTAGATACCCAAGCTTTGGGGCCAAACCAGGGATCGTACAAAGGGATTTCCAATTCTTGATACGGCACAGTTGCAGCTTACATGAACCATGATACTCACATATTCCATGCATACCGTCATGACAAAAACCGTTTGATCCTTGTATTCGCGGCTGACACCCGAGGGGCTGGCTCTGGGGCTGGATAGCGTGCTTCAGATGGTATTGGAATCTGAGACTGAAGACAGTTGTGTTGAGGAGCGTCGAGCGTTTCCTAAGGTTGTGGGAAAACGACTTCCAGTATACACCAAGAGGCACCGTCACCGTGGGCTACATGATCAGTAATTCCCAAATTAGCAACACAGACAATTGCGCAATGAAGCATGGAAGGGAGCATCAATCTCCGACGCACAACCCCAATCCTTCTTCTCACCTTCCAGCCCCACCATCCGTCCGTCTACAAACGGCTATCGCAGCCATCGTCGCGACAGCAAATCTCGGGGGTATCGTACGTCCTCGCCCCACGAGGCAAATAACGCCATAGCAAACTGACTCTCATGACACGGGGCGAGATGTCGGCATCCCGCATCCAACAGCGAGTCTTGGAAAACTCAAAAAATCCTACGCACCCTCATCTCCGCCGGCCTCATTGGACCCAGTTGCACCGGTACGCAAACCCGACTTGCGACCTCAGTCATGAAGTTGCAGCGGAGCGCCGCCGCGGCCCTGCAAGCAACAAAGAGCGACCCCACATGAAAACGCTATATGTGAAATCGCGCTAAGATCTGTGAAAAATAAGATGCCGTGTTGCGCCTCGTTGTTTAGCGAGGCATGATCCTCGATCCTAGTCTGTCTAATTCCCTTCCCAAGGTTTTTGCGTGGGATGACGAGGTGGACGTTCTTGGCTTGGGGGGCCCTGTTTTCCCCATATTTTCGCGGAGTTGACACGTCGGATGGGAATGGTTTGGGGAGTGTGGTGGAACTTTATTCGTGATTCGAGCTACCCGCGGAGGTACGGGACCTTGCGGATGTTCGATAATGTTTTCGAGATGGGGTGATTGGGGCGAGGGCGGCGTCTGTGTCAGTTTGGACTGGGGAACCTAG